ATCTTAAAATGTCGATAAAAAAACACGTGGATAAATTTCAAATCTTGAGGCAAACAAGACATGTGGATAAATTTCAAATCTTGAGGCATACAAGACATGTGGATAAATTTCAAATCTTGAGCACAACTAGTGCCCTTATGATTACTTCCTTATGATTACAATTAATGTTGAGAATTCATAAATGGAGGGGGTTGTGGTATTATTCTTTCTTAAGGTGTGAGAGGTCCTAAGTTCACATCTTAGAATGTCCACACAAAAACACGTGCATAAATTTCAAATCTTGAGGCATACAAGACAAGTGGATAAATTTTAAATCTTGAGAAACTAGTGCCCTTATGATTACATATTAATGTTGAGAATCCACAAATCGAGGGGGATGTGCAAGTATATAATAATAAGTAAATTATCGATTCTACTAAGAACCTATCTTTTGGTTAATTTTATTACTGGAAATGAAGTGAGTTTTTGGGTAATATTCATGGGGTAATATTCAAATGGGTGTTGGTGATTCATTGGGTAATATTCAAATGGGTGTTGGTGATTTTGACTAATTAAACAAAACTAAAGCAAAGTGCCACACTTGTCGAATACCAGAAAATGAGGAGAAAATCAACTCTAATGAGAAAGGTTTCACAAAGAGAGATTAAATAGATAAGTGGTTGAGTTTAGTGGTAGATTTTAGTTCCTTTTAATAGATTATCAAGCACACTTTCGAGGGTCATGCATGGTGATTATTTCCATAATCGTTTGTAATTTCTATTAACAAGGTTGTAGGAGAAAATTATTCCTAAACACTTCTATTACCCTTCAAGTTTCCTTGCAATGGAACTAAAGTATTAAAGAGGATTTCATTGCTCTCTCTTCTTCCAAATAAGAGAACAACTATGTATGTAAAGTAGCTAATTAAACACACATATAAATCATTTACAACAACTCTTTAATAAACTAAGATCATACCGTCAACATACTTAAACAAAACTCTCTCGCCTCCCCTATAAAGTTTAGTTCTCCACATAAACTGAATTAAGTAGAGGAATCCGCATCTCAATCATGTAAAATTGATGGAATGAGAAAAGAGAATAAGGAAATAGAGATTTATCCCAGTTTGTTGTCGTTCGTCAATGGAAGTTCACTTCCCTTGAGCTCTCACGTCCACCTCTTTGCCCTAATCTATCCTTGTTGGTCTCCTTTTCCTTCTGCTGTCAACAACTGCTGGATTAGGATTTTCTTCTTCTTCTCTGGTTTCACAGTAGAGACTGGTGCTGTTTAATCCGATTTTTCTCCCAAAGTGTGGCTCCCTCTTATTTTAGGTATCGTTTTTCTTTTATAATGTTTGTTTCTTCTCATTTAGGGCTGAGAAAGGATAAAATAGTCCACTCAGAATGTTTCTAATTTCGTAGTCAATGACCCACATGGACTGCTGATATGGATTAAAATTTACATGTATCGCCCGAAAAGTTTGCGTTCCGAATTGCTTCAACATCAAAGTCAGCAATTTATTTCCAGATGCAAGCAGTGTTGTTTCTAGATTTGCTATAGAATCATGGTCCAGCATAAATGTTCTTGAGTTTGCCAAATAACTCAATTAAGTATACAATTAAGCTCGATTTATGCAAATTGAACTTCTTTTCATATTAAACCACAATTGACTATTTCATGTATACTAATTAGCATAATTGAAGTAATTAATGAGAAAATAGTGAGTATGAGCACAAAATTAACTATAAAAGTACTTGAAATAACTTACATGTGGAGAGTTATCGGCTGCTTCATACAAACATCTTTATTAAGAAAACCATGAAGAAAAACATTTTGAATATCGATCTGCCAAATAGCCCAACCACAAGAAATAGCAAGAGATAATAAGAGACGAATGGCAGTGGGCTTAACCAACTGGACAAAAGGTATTATCATAATTAACATCATACTATTGTTTAAACCCTTAACCAACTGGACAAAAGGTATCATCATAATTAACATCATACTATTGTTTAAACCCTTTAGCAACCGGTCGTGCTTTGTAGCAATCAATAGAGCCATATGGCTTTTTCTTGAGTTTGAAAACTCATTTGCAATCAATAACATAAAGATAAGCACGAGGAGGAACTAAATGTCATGTCTTATCTTTTATAAGTGCCTGAAATTCATCATTCATTGCCTGACGCCAGAGGAGATGCTCCATAGTAGTAATATGTGAAGTAGATTCAGAGGCAGAAGACCGAACCACAGAATATGTTATTGTTCCATCTATATGCACCTTGGGTTTCTTAATATTGTGCTTCAATCGAGTATCATACGGATGAGTAGTAGGTGCAGGATCCACAATTAAGGGGACAATCGTACCAGCCATTGCGAGGGGAGCAACTAATGCTACAATAGTCTATCGACTAGTGGTTGAGGATCTAATTGGGAATTGCGCAATATAATCTGCTAGTGGATGATCCTAGGCCCCAACCATTGGCGGAACAACCAAAGTCGATTCACGCGGTAGCGACGCAGAGGATTGTGGCGGAAAATTCGAAGTTGATGTGAGCACTAAATTTTCTATATCCAAAGAGTTAGTAGGCACAAATATATGCATGTCATCATTCTCCAAATTAGTACGGTTGTTAACCAAATGCAAGGTGCACAAATCAAGGGCCTTGTGCATCGGCTGCAAGGTTGGAGAAAAACTGGATGGGGCTCTATTGAACGGAAAAACATTCTCATTAATATGACATCTCTAGAAATATAGACAAGATCATAATCGGTTTCAAGAAACTTATACCCTTTATGTAAAGAACTGTAGCCTAGAAAGACACATTCCTTGGATCGAAAAGAGAGCTTTTGTTTGTTATAAGGGCAAAGATGAGGGCAACAAGCACACCCAAAAACTTTGAATAAGGAGTAATTTGGTGAGGTATGAAAAAGACGCTCTAAGGGGCATTTGTTATCGATAACACGAGCAGGAAGACAATTGATGAGATATGTGGCTGTAAGAAACGCGTCATAACAAAATTTGGTACATCAACATGAGTTAGAAGGGCTAGGCCAGTTTCAACAATATGATGATGCTTGCGTTCAGCAAACCCATTTTGTTGAAGTGTGTGAGGGCACGAAACACGATGAGCAATTTCAAGGGAATGAAAGAATGTGTTATGAATTTTCTGATATTCCCCACCCCAATTAGTCTGGACACACTTGATTTTAGTATCTAGGAGGCTTTCAACATGAGCTTGAAACTACAAAAGTATACGAGAAGCTTTTGTACGATCATGCATCAAATATATCCACGAAAATTTACTGAAATCATCAATGAAGCTAATATAACATTTAAAGCCCCTAATAGATGGAGGTGCAGGGACCCAAACATCCGAAAAAATCAATTCCAAAGGACACGAAGACCTATGAAAAGAACTAGTATATGGTAACTGATGACTTTTTGCTGGCAAAGGTTGCAGTAGCACATAAAATATTTGAGACGCAAAATTGACTTTACTATTTGAGATGAAGGATGTCCAAGATGTGCATGCCATTTGGTGTGAGTAGTAGATCTGCTCACTAAGGCATGCTTGAGATCATCGACATCAAATGACTTAATAGGATAGAGACTAGACCCACACCTCCCGTCTAGAAGACTTTTCCTCGACCGTCGATCATTAATAGAAAAAAGTCAAGGAAGGTATTCAAAAAATACGTCATTATCACAAGAAAATTTATGAACAGAAAGAAAATGTTTGGAAATTTCAGGCACATGCAAAATATTATGCAATGCAAGAGGACAAGCAGTAGTATTAATTGAAGAATGACCAATATGCAAAATACGCAAACCTGCTCCATTGCTGACTTGAACTTGTTCACCTCCATGATAGTGTTCATGAACCGCGAGACGATCCAAGTCACTGGTGATATGATCAGTGGTGCCTGTGTCTGTAACACCCCAAAAATGAAGGAAAGCCACCTATGCAAGACCCAAAGGATCCAAGGAAGGAAATTATGAGAATTAAGCAAGGAAAGGGGTCTTAGTAAGATATTTCTAAACCCTAAGAAGTAATCTTAAGGACTTAAGACCTTTGGAGAAGGATTGAGAATGAAAGCTTAAGCGAAAATGACGAAAATGTCATTTTTCCAATTATCAAGGACCTTTCTAGATTTTTAATACCTTATCTAAAAGGAATTTCAAGATGCTCCACAAGGGAAAAATGACCAACAAGGAATGAAGAATGTTTAGGAAAATTATGGATTTTTCAAGAAAATAATAATAAAATATTTAGAAAGTGTCAAATTACCAAAATACCCTTGAAGTTGAGGATAATCACGGATTTGCCATTCTATTAAAAAAATCAGAACCTCCACAGTACCTTCTGCACAAAATCCTTCGAATCTCGACTCTCAGTCGTTGGATCTCCTCCAAATTTGGATATTTTCTAGAACACTCACGGATCTTCACATCCAACGGCTAGGATTCAAAACCAAAGTTGGTGAGTCTCTGATTGGAGTAGATATTTTGGACCGATTTTTTAGAAAATCCAACCAACAATTCATGATGATTCTGGAGCTCCCAATGTCGGTTTAAGTTTCCCCTATAAATTATGAAGATGGGGCAATCATTTGGAACAAGAATCGAGCAAGTTTAGATTTTGGCAATAAGTGTTTAGATTTTGGGTCTCCTACTCTCAGGTTTCTTCTAAATTCGAGAGCAATTCTCCACCATTTCCTTTCAAACTTGTTCCTATAGCTTCTAAAAAATATTACTAACGAGTTCTATGAAGGAAGGGAGAGATGATACGTCGTATAACAAGATACCCAAGAGATCGAAATGGAGGTGTCGGGTAACTCGCAGACCGAGAGTGGTTTCTCAAAATTCAGATCCCACACTCAAAGTCGTTCCCCTAAACCAATTCCTTTATCTTGAAGAAAGAATAAGGAAGAGGTTTTGTGAAGAAATCGAGCTTCGAAAACCCCTAAAATCGGCTACCCATTAAGAAAATCCTCTATTTTTACTCCGTCCAGTAATCATATTTTGGACGAACTTTGGAAGAAAATATCTTAGGCTACGATCAAAGAAAAGGTACGAAGTCTATCCCTAGCTCTTCCTTGTAACACCCTCTTTAAATTTTATAAGGGAATCGAGGAGAGAAACAGCATGATAGGAGCTGGGGAGGGCGAGTTACAGACGGCGGTGCAAACGGTCGCGCGCGTCTTCTTCTTGCCTGGAGGAAGAAGATGATGACATGGTCGGTTCAGTTGAACCGGCCATGTCAACCTAAAACTCGACCTTCCCTCAGTTTTCTCTATTTTAACCCCCTTCCAGACCGGTTCTCATGAAAACATTTATGGTTCTAGAAAGTAGACACAATAAGGAGTTTGTGAAAGGAAAGTTGAAGTAATTCAAGTACCGGAAGCTCAAGAAAAGAGGTCCCGAACGTCGACAATAAGGTAAGTAGCCACCTTGGACTTTTTTGTTAAGAAATACTTGTAGAAATCACTTAGATTTCCATATGAACCCTAAAAGAAGTATGAACTAGGGTTAGATGAAAGAAAAACTCAAAGAACTGCGAGTTAAGACCCTAAATCGATCAATTTTCCCGGTAATTAGGTAACATTAGAATAACCCAATAGATGAACTCTGCTACTTATGAAATTTTAATGCTGAGTATATTATAGTATGTTGAGGTTATATATGAAGTTTGGTTGTTATTGGATAAGGATAAGTAGGTAAACCAAGAAATGGTGCAAAATGACCATAATGCCCCCAAGATATCTACCTACGGTTCATGACCTAGATGACCTCCAAATGCTATGAAATCATGAAGTAGATCTTATTTTATGATGTTTGTGATTTGGTGAATTTGAAAGTCATTGGAACACGTTAAGTAGCAAAACCAAGAATAAGGTGTAAAATGACCAAAATGCCCCTAGGACTACTTAAGAGATTTCAAGGTCTATACGTGCTCTGAATGATTTGCTACTTCTTATAAGGTCGTTTATGAAGAACATGAAGATAAGTTTGAGGTTTCAAGTTGATTGGAGTAAGTTTGGAACCTAAACCAAGTTAGGATCCAAGAAACACCTAAAGGAAACACCACAAGACTCTAAACTTTTCTAGAACCCTCTAAAGAACTCCCTAAGAATCTATGACCTCCTAGAACAACATACACTAAGATGGGTTCATATGGTTACAAATACAAGTTACAACTTATACCTCAAGAAATTAAGGACCTTTGAAACTTACAAGATTAAGAATCAAGAACAACAACACACAGGCTTTACAACTACCCAAGTAAGAAAAATGCCAAGTATCGCTCAAGGACAAAGAACTAAGGTCCCCAAACTCAGAAACGCAAGAATGCTAGGTAATACTATAGTCATGTCCAAAGTGACCCATGACCTCCCACCAAGCAGTACCCAAGAATTCCTCTTCTAGGTGGGATGCCCGCACCATGTTTCCTTTGTAGGATGTCATGCCTCAAGTTTCCTTCACTTAGAAGAGATGCCCTACAGACTTGCAAGATGCCATGTTCAAGTATGCACCGAGCAAGTGACCTTTATGGTCTATCAAGGGGAGTAGTCTAAGGTCACGGAGGAACAAGAAGAGAGTAAGTTACCTTAGCCACGAATCAAGAACCTCGTAAGACCTCTCACGGTACAGCGTGCTCATGACTTAGACTACGCTGCTTGGAACGCATGAAACCTTGAGCATAGGTTAAGCAGACTGTATTATAGGGCAAGCCCTTGATGTAGTATTAAGACTACATCGCTGGGAACGTAAGAAGCCTTGGATGTAAGTTTTCAGACTATGTCGCTTGGAACGCATAAAGCTTTGGACATAGGTTAAGCAGACCGTATCGAAGGGCAAGCCCTAAGATGCGGTAAGACTACGTCGCTTGGAATGCATGAAGCCTTGGACGTAGGTTAAGGCTGTGTCGCTTGGAACGCATGAAGCCTTGGACACAGGATTGTCAGATGCATGTCTAGTGCCATAAATCCTAGGGGGAGTGTCTTGGAGAACGAATCAAGAACAAAACAAGAACCAAGAAAGTACGAAGAACAAGAGAAAGATCAAGGAATAGAACAAGGATCAAGATCCTAGATCTAAGGACAAGAACTAGAAACAAAGGACCAAGAACCAAAAACCATAGTACTAAGGCCTTTAAAGGAAAACCAAAGTTTTAGGATTCAAGGACCAAGGTCCTCAAGAAAGATCAAGATAAGAACCCCAAGTCAAGAACAAGAATTAGAGGGACCTAAGTACTTTCAATAAGAACAAAATCAAGAACAAGCAAGAATAAAGAATGTGGTACCCTAGCTTATCAAGGACACGATTAAGAGCCTACAAGTAGGCTACTTACTGAGTCTTGTACTCATTCCTTATTCTCCATTTTTTTTCTAGGTGATAAGGAGTTGGTCGAGGTCGGGAGAGGACTCTGAAGAAGGTGCCATAGACTAACCTCACCTGTCGTCCTCAATCCTTTTGTTTAAAGTGTTTTGTATCTGTTCCTTATTTTGTGTTTTAACTAGTATGTTGTGTTTCGAATACTTGCGTATAAACCCTATTTTGATATAATGTAAATTTAATGTTTTAAATTTCTTTGTTTTATTTTGCCAAAAAATTTACCCACCTTTTTTAGTCATCGAGTCAGCTCGATCCTTACAGTGTGTTGATCAATTGGTTGGATAGTTTTTCATTTTCACTTTTATTGATGACGTGATGTTTAGGGTTTTGTGATGTAAGAATTGTGGGGATATAGTTCAGGTGGTAGAATGCTTTCTTTGCATGCAAGAGGTACGAGAATCCATACCCCACATCTCCAAAAGAAACTAATTGTTATTAATATTTTATTTATATTCCATCTTTTCTTATTTATGACATAATGAATAGAGATATTTTTTCATTTTAACTATTATTAGTGACGGTAGGTTTAGGGTTTTGAGATTTAGAATTATGGGGATGTAACTCAAATAATAGATTTAGACTATCGATTATTAAATGTATTCTTTATTTACAATATTTTCTTATTTCTTTTCAATATTTTCTTATTTATGACATAATGAGCAAAGATAGTTTTTCATTTTCACTATTATTAATGACGAGACATTAGGATTTTTGTGATATAAGAATCATTGGGATATAGCTCATATGGTAGAGCGCTCACTTAACATGTGAGAGGTGTAGAGGTTGATACCCTGCATCTCCTAAAGAAATTATTCGTTATTAATATTTTATTTCTATTCAATTTTTTCTTATTTTTTACCTAATGAGCAGAAATAATTTTTCATTTTTCACTATTATTGATGACCGGTGTGGGTTTTGTTATGTAAGAGTTGTGGGGATGTAGCTAAGATGGTAGAGTGCATCTCCTAAAGAAATTTTGGGTTTTGTTAGGTAAGAATTGTGAGGATGTAGCTAAGATGGTAGATTGCTCTCTTTGAATGCGATTGGTATGGGGATTGATACCCCGAATACCCCGCTCTGTATTCCTAAAATGCTCTATAATATGGTGGTGCCTTAATGGGATATTTTAAATTGGATTCTTGCCTATTATTTCTAAGAATATGTTAAGTATATGCATACAATAGAGCAATTCATAGTACCACTCATTGTTCTCCTTTTAAAGATGTTTATGGATTTAATCTACTTACGCCTCTTGATTTGCTTCCTATTCATTCTAATATTTTTGTGAGTAAAACAAAGTAACGCAGATCTGATCAATACATTGCATAAACAGGTGAAATGAGACAATTGAGAAACAAAAAGTTACTTCAAGAATTAAATATTTTTGTGAGTAAAGCAACCACAAGGTCTGATCAAAACATTGCATAAAGAGATGAAGGAGATAATTGAGAAACAAAATTTCAAAGTTGCTTCAAGAATTAACAAAGGACGGAAGAAAATCATTTTTCAACCCGATAACTGGGTTTGGATACATTTTCGCAAGGAGCGATTCCCATCTCGAAGGAAGACAAGGTTACATCCAAGAGGGGATGACCAAGTTCTTGAAATAATTAATAATAATGCACATAAAATGATCTTCCTAGTGAATTTTTAACACATTCTACTTTCAATGTTGCTGACATGAGTCCTTTTGATGTAGGTGATGATTTTTCTGATTCGAGGACGAATCCTTTTGAAGAGAGGGAAGATGATAAGTGTTCCAAATGGACCAACCAAGAAGATTCAACAAGCATATGTTCTTCATCTATAAAATTTGATAGGCTTGGTTCAAATATCATTTCATGTGTTACAAAGTCATTCGATTGAGGAATGACCATTTGGAGCTTAAGAAGTGAATATTTATACAGTTGAAGTAGAGAATGAAGTTGCAAGATCATTAAATGAGTTGTTAGAAAATTTTATTTATTTTTAATTCATAAAGTATGCAAGGGTCAAATTGTCGAATTGACCTCATCTTTGGTGGAGATTCGAGGGGATTGAGATTATATTCAGGCCATTGACTTCTTCCTATAAATATCCACAAATTATTACGTACAAAAGTTACCCTTAAAAAAATCAGAACATCATATATGTCATATACCATATGCCATTTCTAAGTTTCAATAATGGTTGGGGTAGAATTGCATCTCACCCTTTCAGGCTATCAAGTTTGATTGTGTGGTTGATTGAAATTTTCAACCTTCTACTTATTTTCCCGATTTCTTCTCTCCTTATTCATGGTAATTTATCCTAAACAAACAAGTTTGTTTTGTAGGGAATGTATTAAGCACATGGGTATGAAGTAAATAAAAATGGGGTAAGTATATATTACAATAATAGAGGAATTATGTTTACTAGCACTTTTTTTTTTTTTTTTTTTACCTGAGATAGAAGTAAACCTAGTAATAAAAAAAAAACTACATAAACTGGAAGGAAGTTAATCCCAGTTTTGAAAACTAGCCACTACATATCAAACTAGGTTTTGAAAACTAAAAAAAAATTTAAAAATAAATATAAAATAAAAGTCGTTTTCAAAAACTTAATTTGTGGTGAAATTTTACTTAAAATTCAATGTATTGTTTCAATATCTATCCCAAAGGAATGCATATGCTTTAGTGGCAATGTAGCTTCCACAAAAATAATTTGAGCTAGGTCATTCATAATCCCAAATGTACAAGGTAGGAATTATAGGATATAAACTTTATTTATGTCAATATTTCTTCACCATGACAATAATAATAGGTTCTAAAGTACAAAAAAATCCGAATCTTGAGGCACACAAAACACGTGGATTAGCAACTAAAAATGATTGATCCACTACATGGGCATTTGGTTTAGTGGTATGATTCTCGCTTCAGGTGCGAGAAGTCTTGAGTATACCAAATTAAATATTTTGTTGTTTCCTTTGTTGGGTTGTTGGTTTATTCGATAATCCCTTGAATATTAGAACAATCTAATATTACATGGGTTACTTACAAGTGAAAATTAGTTATCTTCATCTTCAAAGACTTGGTGCTCCTTTTTCGAAGCATGGTTGCAATGGCTTAGCCTTTCAGCAAAAACACTCTTAGGAAACACAAACATATGTTTATAAATTTTTATGATTACATAAAGCCACGTATGGATGTTGAGAATTGCTACTTCATATAAAGAAAATCACAAATCAAACGGCTACTTCATATAAACCATGAAGAAAATCATTTTGAATATCAATTTGCCAAATAATCCAACCATAAGAAATAGCTAGACTAAAAGTATCATCATAATCAACGTCATACTACTGTTTAAACTCTTTAGCAAGCAGGCGTGCTTTGTATTCTTGAGTTTGAAAACTCATTTGCAATCAATAACATAAAGACCAGCATGAGAAGGAACTAAATGTCATGTCTTATTTATTAGAAGTGCCTGAAATTCATCATTCATTGCCTGACACCAGAAGGGATACTCCATAGCAGTAATATGTGAAGTAGGTTCAGAGGAGGAAGACCGAACCACAGAATATGTTATTGTTCCATGTGTACGCACCTTGGGTTTCTTGATATTATGCTTCAATCGAATATCATACGGATGAGTAGCATCCACAATTAAGGGGACAGTCGTACTAGCTGTTGCGAGGGGAGCAATTGGTGCTAAGCAGTCGATCGACCAGCGGCCGAGGATCCAATTGGGCACTATGCAATATCATCTACTGGCGTAGGATCTGAGACCCCAATCATTGGCAGAACAACCAATATCGATTCGCGTGGCAGCGACACAGAGGATTGCGACGAAGCTGATTTGGGCACCAGAGTTTCTACATCCAAAGGGTTAGTAGGCACAAATATATGCAAGTCCTCATTCTCCAAATTAGACCATTGACATGCTTAGATTATAGGTTCTAAAGTACAAAACCATGTGGATAAATTTCAAATATTGAGGTGCATAAAACATATGGACTAGCAACTAAAAATTTTAGATCTACTACAAGGGCATTTGGTCTAGTGGTGTGATTCTCGCTTTGGGTGCGAGAGGTATTGAGTTTATTCTCAAAATGCCCCCAATAATAGAAAAGCACATGGGTCGTGTGTGGAGAAGTACCACACATCCAACCTTCCAAGGCCATGTAAACTTTACGAAAAGTTAGGTTCCGCTCATTTGTTGCATGTGCTTGCATATCTAACTCCAGTAGTGGTGTGACTTACTGAGTATTTCATAAAATACTCAAGCCTCGTGCTACCTACATTTTTCAGGTAAAGGCAAGGCGTCAATGTACGGCTGACGATGGAGATGAGGTTACCATGGAAGTGAGAGGGTTATTTTGATGTTTAAGTTAGATTGTTGAACATTTATTTGATTTAAGCTTTTGAATTCATTTATTGAACATTTTCGTGTTAGAGTTATGTTTAGTTGGATTTTGAACCTTTGCGAAAGACTAGTGTTTTTTTCCAAGCTTATTTATAATAAATTTTCGCTTAATGACTTATGCATGTATGGGTGACGTCGCTAATTAAGTTAAGAAAATTAAGGGCGTTACAGTTAGTATCAGTGCTCTAGGTTATAGATCTTGTAGACTAGCTTACAGTGTAGGCCTAACGCACTTTCATGGTCCTCCAACAAACGCACCGTCACCTTCAGGTATGCCTTTTTAAGAATTGAAGTTTTTAGTAAAATGATGCATGCAGTAGGGAATTTGTATTTGTAATGAAAGATATGATGTGCATGTGTTAAATATTGCATGTTTTATGATATGTCATGGACTACCGAATGGTTATGTTAATGCTATAGTTTTATGTATTAGTGACTTGCATTATTAATGTTTATAGAATCTATTACATAAGTATATGAGTAGTTTGTGCACTGTTTAGATACCACCTAGAACTCGAGGAGAAGGTCTAAGGACATGACCCCCGCTTAGGGGTACAGGAAGAGGAAGGGGACGCAATGGGGGACAAGAGGATTCTGTAGAGCAGCCTTTTCCACCACCAGCGGTACCTTAAGCCACACCAGACCCTATAGTTGTCCTAGTAAATGCATTGCAACCAGCAAGCAAATGCTTCTACATCAACCATGGAGGCTAAGTACCTCCAAGATTTCAAGA